TTTTTTTTTTTTTTTTTTTTTTAGATTCAAAAATTGTGGTGGTGGATGGTCAAATGTGTGCCTCAAGAAATAAAATTATTTTAATAATTTAAATTAAAAAAAAAAAAGAAAAAAAAAAGAAAAAAGAAAAGGAATTTATATGGTGTTAGCATCTTCCTTAATATATTCGTACACGTTGTCGTAACGTAACAGATGTTCCTTTCCGTTCGTTTGCTCAATTTAATATATTTTTCATAAATTTGCACAACACCCCCAAAGGTTTCTGAAATTCACCCTAGACCCCTCATCTTTCATTATTAACCTTTCTTCCACGGACCATCCCGGTTGAATTCAATGCTGGACAAGGTTTTCTTGCCAACGCTCACCGCTTTTATGGATTTTTTTTTTCTTTTTCTTTTTAAATATTTCTCTAATTTTAAGAAATATTTATTGTCTATCGTTCAAATATTAAATATTTATCCGTCGAACACTTAAAGAATGTAAATAAATATAAAAATATTATTACTCCACCAATAAAATTAATTACGAAAATTGAAAATTTAGAGGTAGAAATTAATTTTTGTGTAAAAAAAAAAAGAAATAGTAATTAAAAAGTTTGTAAGCATTGATTGAGTGATGTGGTTGTGAATAAATTTGGTAGAAGCTTACCTACTACCCCAAACATAGGGTTATAAAACCCATTTAATTATATAATTTAAAACTATACTACCTAAACTCAAATGTCCTCCCTTAAACCTTAATAAATGCTAACTTTTAGAGGTTAAAAAAATCAATACAATACTCGATAGAAATGTTACAAAAGTAACCGTTTCAATTTTTGTACTTGGAGGTGGATTTAGTGGGGGGTCCCACATCGATTGGAGAAAGGAACGAGTGGCAGCGAGGACGCTGAGCCTCGAAGGAGATGGATTGTGATGTCCTACGTTGGTTGGATACGAGAACAAAACAAGGATATGAAAACCTTCCCCTAGTAGGCAATTTTAAAGCCTTAAGGGAAAGCCCGAAAGGGAAAGCTATGCTCTCTCATTCAGAGCCAATCAATCGAACATAATCAATCTAGCCAACTCGTACGATTTAGGTTTTTTACTTAAGATATACTTATATATACAACTCCGACTAAGTTACAAGTCAAAAAAAAAAAAAGGCCAAATTCCAAAAATACCCTCGATCACCACGAGGGAAATGGTAATTTTACACGCATCTATCTTACAGTGTAATTTTAACAACACAGCTTAGAAGGAGCTGGTAGGCTGGAGGCGGAAACATAAAATAAAATTAAAAAAAAAAAAAAAAAAACTTTAATTCAAAAAGAAAAAGAAAAAAGGAAAAGAAAAAAGAAAAAGAAAAATACAGAAAGAAAAAAATTGAGATTTCCGTTGGATAGAGAAAGGAACCGTGTCTTTGTAACCAGAGGTCAAACTCTCCCAAAACGACACCCACCACCGCAACCAAACGACACCGTTTCAATCTCCGGCGAACTCCACCGCCGCTTCCGCCTCCTTGCTTCTCGTATGCTGATTCCCGATCGCCCTCCTCCGTGGTCTAGTCCTCCTGTCACGGCCGGGTAATCCAGCCCCGTTCTCTCTTTTGCTTCTGATTTTATTATGAAGAGCTACGCTAAGGTTAACAGCAACAACAGCAGCAGCAACAACAAGAGCGCCAACGGATTTCTCCCGAATTCTTTGAAATTCATTTCGTCCTGTATTAAGACTGCTTCTTCCGGTGTTCGCTCCGCCAGTGCTTCCGTCGCTGCCTCTATCTCTGGCGACGCCCCCGATCACAAGGACCAGGTTCACTCTACTTTTTGTTTTTTGAGTCTAGTTTGTTTCTGATTTTGTTAATTGCGGCACTGATTTTTCATTTTCCCCAAAATTGTGTTTCGCTCTGTTCACGATTGATCTGGGAGGAAGTTTGGTGGTTTGTATGTATCTGGGGCTTCTAGAGGTTGTATCGGTGATCTTAGGTGCTTTAGTGCCGTCATTTTTGGTTGTTAGGAATACTTGTTCATTAAGTCTCTGGTTGATTTTAGCTTCTGCAGATTTGGTTTTTTGGAGGTTCCAGACGTTATCTCTGGCAAAGAATAACGAAAATTGTGTAGAATGTGAACTTATTACTTAGTTCAGCGTTCCCCCCTTCTAAATCATTATGACCACCGCTGGTTTTTGATATAGGGTTTAGGGTTATTTTATCTGAGGATTCTGCGAGTCGAATTTCCTTCCTTTGTGTTCTTCTTTTCTCCTTTAGTTATGGTAGTGATATTAACTTGTGTTTTTAGTTCATCTTTTGTTGGATGTTTCCAATGTACGTGTGCACTGATTTTGCTAGGGTACTTCTGGAGGAGTTGGCAAGTAAAAGAAAGAACCATTAGGAAGCGTGCGTTTTTAGCGTTATGTAGGGTTGATTGATTGGAAAACGATATACCATTTTTAGCGAAAAAATGAGGGTTCTAAAGATATTTTGCGATGAAATTTTGTTCCTTCATTATTGTTGGTCTAGAAATGCAAGTTCTTTAGATTTTTAGCTTTTATTAAGCATTTATTGTTCTAGACGAATATATATGTTTTGCTTTTTACAATTTATACTATCTTTTTTTTTTCAAAGAGGATTCCTCATCCTTTTTCTGATTTGTACTCTATACTCTACTATCAAGTGTATTCCACGTTTGTTAGAGATAGAACATGAATTATAGAGAAGTAGGACGACCGAGAAGAGAAGCAACATAATATGAATAATTTTGTGAACCTGAGAACACTATTGAGTTATCATTAGGATCGTATAACTTTTTGAAAGAAATTCTTGGGTTTTGTCAGATGTATAAAACCTTGATTTAGACACTTTATCATTATGTACGCCAGTCTGATTTGGGTGTTTAAATTTGTAACATCATTCTGATCAGAAGTTTTCATATATAGAACTGGAAGATATTAGTTTGCCAGTGGATTTGTCTGTGATGAGCATCTTCAGTGCAACAGAACCTATTCTGTGTGGAATATAATTTGTTTGTGTCGTACTTGCCCTTGCATGTGTGCTTCTTATGATGCAAAACATGCAATATAATAAGGATTTGGAATTATGGTCCAACAGGTATTATGGGCTGGATTTGACAGACTTGAGCTCAGTCCGTCCTTCTTCAAACGTGTGCTTTTAGTTGGTTATACGAATGGCTTTCAAGTTCTTGATGTTGAAGATGCTCCCAGTGTCAGTGAACTGGTTTCAAGACGGGATGATCCAGTCACATTCTTGCAGATGCAGCCTCTTCCTGCGAAGTCTGATGTTAAGGAAGGCTTTGGAGAATCACATCCAATACTTTTGGTGGTTGCATGTGATGAGGCCCAGAATTCAGGTTTGGTTCAAAGTGGCACAAATGGGTTGGTGAGAGATGGATATCCTAACGGTCATTCAGATAACAATATCCTCTCCCCAATGGCTGTTAGGTTTTACTCGTTAAAAACTCGGAATTATGTTCATGTTCTGAGATTTCGCTCAACCGTATACATGATTAGATGCAGTCCTGAAATTGTGGCTGTTGGTCTTGCATCGCAAGTAAGCTTATATCATTCTCATTCTCATTAATGAGTTCATAATTGAGAAAGATTAATTATCTTTTTCTTTCTTTAGCATAATTAAAAACTTCACAACACTTTCCATATAATTGATTTAATAATGGATGTTCTTTTTCCCCAAAATATCAAATGGATTGATGGTTGCAGGGCTCTTGTAGTTAATGAAGACCATTTTTTGGGGGCTTATAAAAAATCAAGACTATTTTCTGATGGTGTATAAAAAATTAAGACTATCTTCTAATAGCTTTGTTGCCTAAGTCAATCATGTGTTTCCTATGAGTATAGAATTGATTATGAAGGCTGGTAATTGTTTATAGTTCAAATTTTTTTGATCACTTATTCCTCTTATTTACAGATTTATTGCTTCGATGCTCTCACCCTCGAGAGTAAATTTAGCGTTCTCACGTATCCAGTCCCTCAATTGGGAGGCCAAGGAACATCTGGGGTTAATATTGGCTATGGACCTATGGCCGTGGGTCCTAGATGGTTGGCTTATGCTTCCAACAATCCTTTGCAGTCAAATACTGGACGTTTAAGCCCACAGAGTCTTACACCTCCTGCTGTAAGCCCATCAACGTCACCTAGCAGCGGGAGTTTAGTGGCTCGATATGCCATGGAATCTAGTAAGCATTTGGCTGCTGGGCTAATTAATTTGGGTGATATGGGTTATAAAACATTGTCTAAATACTATCAAGAATTTGTACCTGATGGTTCTAACTCTCCACTCTCATCAAATTCGAGTCGGAAAGTTGGTCGGCTGGCATTGCATTCTACAGAAACAGATGCTGCTGGAATGGTTAGTCTTTTCATTTCAGGACTGTATAATTTTTGCATTTGCATTGAAAACTAGTCTGATATATTCTTACAATTGTTACTTATATTAATTAACATGTCATAGCTTCTTTTGATATTTCTGAAAGCAGAAAAATACAAAAAGACAAATATTTCTAAGTTCTTGTTCTTGTATTTGTCCTACTTTTTTTTTTTTTTTTTTTAATTTTCAAATTTTATTCACTCCCTTTTAGAATTGTATCTCTGGAACATTTTTCCTTTTCATTATATCACTGAGAAGTTGTTTCTTGTAAGAAAAAAAAAGGATATTTCAAAGAAACCTACTAATGTTTGTGCTTAAAGGAAATCATGCATCTTGATCTCTGAATGACACTGAAGTTTTTTGTTATTGGCTACTAAGATTGGGATCGAGTTAGAGAGTTCAGGTATCCACTTCATGCTTCCTATGGCCAGTTAGAGTATGAGGTCATTCTTTTGAGAGTTAAGCAGCTATGTCCATGCCCTTGGAATTACAAAAATAGGTTCCCATGATATGTTAGATAAGAGATAGCAGGATTCATAAAGGAGTAATTTTTGCACCAAGACATTGCCAAAAAAAATATAAAAAAAATAAAGAATCAAGAAAGCTAATTAACATAAAAGGATCTTTCCTTGCCATAAAGGTCGTTTCTTTCATCCCATATGGTCTATAAAAAAGGCTCTTATACACCGCAAGGTTGCACTAGAGAATCTCTTTCATTTTTGGGAGGAGGTCAATTTTGGATAGACTATTCTGTGGGTTTCCCCCCAGTTCTCAACGTTGCTCTTTTTGCAGGTTGTTTTGAAAGATTTTATCTCCAAAGCTGTTATATCACAATTTAAGGCTCACTCTAGTCCGATTTCTGCTCTTTGTTTTGATCCAAGTGGGACCCTTCTAGTCACTGCCTCAACCCATGGTAGCAATATTAACATTTTTAGGATTATGCCATCCTGCATACAAAATGGATCGGGCACCCAAAGCTACGATTGGAGCTCCTCTCATGTGCACCTTTATAAGCTTCATCGTGGCATGACATCAGCTGTACGTCCTTGACTTTTAACTTTTCATTATATTTTATGTGCTTACGAGCAGTTCTTTATATTGCTTTTGATCCAGGTAATACAAGACATTTGTTTTAGCCACTATAGTCAATGGATAGCTATTGTTTCATCTCGGGGAACTTGCCACATTTTTGCTCTTTCACCCTTTGGAGGGGAAACGGTTCTTCAAATGCACAATTCTTTTGTTGATGGGCCTAATCTTATACCTGCTTCATGTGTCCCTTGGTGGTCAACTTCATCTTTCATCTCAAACCAGCAATCCTTTTCTCCTCCACCTCCTCCTCCTGTCACTCTTTCTGTTGTTAGCAGAATAAAAAATTGTAACTCAGGTTGGCTTAATACTGTCAGTATGGTTACTGCTTCTTCATCGGGAAAGGTTTCCATCCCATCAGGTGCTATTTCTGCTGTTTTCCATAGTTGTATACCTAAGAATCCGCAATCCTCTCAATTAAGTTCAAATACTTTGGAACATCTTTTGGTGTATACTCCTTCCGGCCATGTGATTCAACATAAACTGCTTCCATCAATGGGGGGAGAATGTGGTGAAACTGTTTTGAGAAGTCCAAATGCTACAATGCTGATGAAAGATGAGGAACTGCGAGTAAGAGTTGAACCTATTCAATGGTGGGATGTTTGCCGAAGAGCTGCTTGGCCAGAGAGGGAGGAATGCATATCTTCAGTTATTCTCAGGAGAAAAGAAACTGTCGAACCTGTTGAGGATACTTCCTATTTACAGGAGAATCATCTTGAAAACCAGGAGTTGGTAAAGCCACATGACCGTTCTCTCTTGTACCTATCCAATTCTGAGGTGCAGATAAACTCTGGGAGAGTACCTGTCTGGCAGAAATCCATGGTATTGGTAGTAGTGCCCTCTTGAATTCCTTCTTTTTCAGGCATCAATTAAGTTGGTTTTCTTTTCCTCCCTATTGCAGGTACATTTCTATACCATGGGTTTTCCCGGGTCTAATGAGGAAAGTAGCATGAAAGATAATATGAATGGGGAAATTGAGATAGAGAAAGTACCTATTCATGAGGTTGAAATAAAGCGGAAGGATTTGCTTCCAGTTTTTGACCATTTTCGTGGGATACAGTCTGATTGGCTTGATAGGTGATGATAATTGAGTCTAATTACATTGCTGCAAATATTGTGTTGCCATATTCTTTTCATTTTAATTTACGAATATTATCTGGCAGGATTTATCTATTTTATGTCTCACATTTTCTCGTCGCGTATATTAGGAAATGAAAAATTGATACCTCTAGCCAGTTAAATTGTATCGTTATTTCTTTGAGGGTGGGGAGTGTCTAGGGTGTTTGGTTCCTCAAGGTTGAAAGGTAAAAAATTATTTTGGGAGGAGCTTGGGGTTATCAGGTCTTTGTAGCCCTTGTTCGTGTCTTTAAAGAGATCCCAATGTTCAGAACCCGAGGAAAAATTGGTGGGTGGGGGACTGAGAAAATTCAATAGGTTCATTGAGGATTGTAGGTAATGAGAGGTTTACTTGGAAGTAGGATAGTTAAGTTTTTGCTCTAATATTAGGTGCCTCTTTCCTAGATGTTAGACTGCTGATGTCTTAATCCATTTGTTCTTCTATTTCATTAGCCTCTTGCTATTGTGTACATTTCTTGCAGTGTCTTTAAGAAAATGGTTCATGAGTAAGATCTGTGATAAATGAATTTGACGGCTTGATACTGAATTAATTATCTTGATGACTTGCGATCCAATATCATCTAGCAAATTGTGAAGGCACTTCATTGGCTGAAAGTTGGAGTTGTTGGTTGCTTCTGCAGGAGCCATGCTGGTGCAAAAAGCTCTAGCCCAAGTTTAGATTCTCATAGTGATGGAATAAAGTATTCAAAAGGTGATATCGGTTCAGATTTAAAGTTGGACTCACGTGGCTTGGAAGAAAATTCAGATGGTTATTATAAGCATTTTATTTTCATGAGTATCAATTCATTATAGTCCAGCGTCTCTTTTCCCCCTAATTTTGTAATATGATTTTCAGGTATATCTAATCCACCCATTGCCAAATCCGTGGGTGACATTAAGATGAATGAAAAGGATGGATCTGTTTTGGCCTCACCAGTAATGAAAGAGAACTCTTTCCAGGAGCAGGCTTCGGTATCTTCTAAACAATCGAGCACTGGACTTTCCCCAGGCGAAGGCAGCGATTTTACTAACAGCCCATCAACTGCAACAAGTTGCTCACTCTCCACTGATAGAACTATTTTTAAAGCAGTTCAGTCATCAAAATGTGGAGGGGCCAGTGAGGGCTCAAATGCAAGTTCCAACCGATCTGACTTGAGTATGAACATTCTTGATGAGGGACCGATGGGCGACTCATTTGATTATGAACCATTCTTTCAAGAGGAGTATTGTAAAGCGACAGGTCTTAGTAACTGCCGTGACCCAGCAGAAGCTCTAACTGACGACGTTGACAGTAGTGGTAGTCCTCATTACAGGGAGAAATGTGAGGAAGATGGGGACACTGATGACATGCTTGGTGGCGTATTTTCTTTCTCTGAGGAAGGTATTATAAATTGTGTGAAACTATCTTTTTTAGCTTGTTATTATTTCTAGCCTGTTGTCACATGGGTAAATGGCTCTGCAGTACCAATGAATTAAATCGACCGAATTTAACACGCATGCACACACGAAACCTGTAGGGTCACAGTATTAAAGGTATGTTTGGATTTAAGATGTAGAGTTCTTTTGGCCAAACTGTCTGACTTGAAAGGACTTTTAAGGAGGGAGGGTAGCATGGTTATAATGTGGTGCACAAATGGGTCTTGCAGGATAGGTGCTCTCCTTGGCATGGTCATAATTTAGCGCAATACTCAGACCGTTGGATTTACAGCGCCTCAGAGAACAGTCTGGAGGTCGTGTTGGTGGTCGTGGTCGTGATAAAGTGTGGTATCCTAATTGATAAAAGTTGAGATTGTTGGCTTTCAACAAACTACAATTCTACTGACAGATAAGTGAAATGTTATTGATGGGGTAGCAGAGGTGGGACTGATACCTGGTTTCCTCATATTCCTCCCTTTTGATTCTATGTGTACATACTGTAAATTGAAAATTCATAGTTCAAATGATTTGTGGTCAGGTTCTTACCAATGCTGTGTATTATTATTATTATTTATTCTTCAAAGAAAAATGAAAAAAAAAAAGGAAATAAAGTGGAAAATGAATGCATATCACTGTCCAATATGTATTTTTTATTTTTATTTTATTATTATTTTTTATTTTTTACTTATCAGATGGTGAGATTATTTTTATGTGGTTGTCAGTACTAATGCAGGGACTGCTGGAAGAGTTACACTATTATGCCATTTGAGGGGACCAAGTACTGCTCCCTGGTTATTTTTTTTTTAATTTATATATCCACCATTCATAATTAAATAAAAACTGCATACCAACATGCCAATTACTTGTGTTAAATGGTTGTGAATTTGCTATAAGATTGTTTTGAATGTTATGAATGGGGGATAAATATAAGTTTTTTAAATAATTTAAAAAAATTGAACAACTCCGGACTTGAAAACAAAGGGCTGAATTGTAAAACAATTTCGAGTTATTTGGGTTACCAACCCAACCAACCCAAAATGTATACCAACCCAACCAACCCAAAATGTAATCCAATCTAACCTGTGTACCCCCTAATTATTCCTTTTGTTGAAGGAAGTGTACCCCCTAATTATTCCTTTTGTTGAAGGAAGAACCTTCGGATCAACCAAGAGATAAGGCAAGAACCCTTGAATCAAAGAAATTCACACCTTCTTCTACAAAATTCGGATCAACCAAGAGATAATGCAAGAACCCTCGAATCAAAGAAATTCACACATTCTTCTATAAATTCAGATCAACCAAGATAAAAAGCTAGAATTAGATTAGATCAAAGATCTAGAAGCAAGATTTGAAACCTTGCTCTAAATTGAGTCAGTCCAAATCAAACTTGATCAAGACTCAGAATTGCATCAAACTTAAAAATGACAAAGACGATGCTCTGATTTCTAAGGTAAACATCTCAACTTCAGATATCAGTTTCATTTATCAAAAATCCGATTTTTAGATAATAGTAAATAAAGTTGCTAACAACTCATAAAATGATGCTTGCAACTTCATCTACTACTTTAACCATGCAAATATTTACTTTTGAAGCTTCAAATAGTCTTTCATCAGTCGAATCAGCTTGTAACACATTAAATGATGGTTGAATCGAACCTATCCAATTTTGTAGACAAGAACGAATGCTTGTTGAATCTTTTTGGTCTTTGATTGTGTAATAGGTCCAGTTGAAACATTTGAAACACCATGATTCTTATCACATGACATCTTGCAAATTTTTGGGTACTAATAACCTGGTGCAGAACATCTCATTTAGGTGAGGAAAACTTGAGGCCAAACATTACATCCTGCAAAAGAAACATAGTGTAGGGCATCCCACTTAAAAGAGGAATTCTTGGGCCTTAGAAAGCATCGCTTAGTGGGAGATCATGGGTCACTTTGAACGATTAGAGTATTAGCTAGCATTCTTGAGTTTGTGTCTGAGGACCTTGGTCCTTTATCCTTGAGTGGTACCTAACATTCTTTTTACTTGGGTAGTTGTAAAACTTGTATGACATTGTTCTTGGTTTTCAATCTTGTAAGTTTCTAAGGTCTATAATTTCTTGAGACATAAGTTGTAACTTTTATTTGTAACCATATGAACCCATCTTAACGTGAGTTGTTCTAGAAGGCCATATATTCCTAGTGAGTTCTTTAAAGGGTTCTAGAAAATTCTTGATTCTTGTGGTGTTTTCCTTTTAGGTGTTTCTTGGGTTCTAACTTGGTTGAGATTCCAAACTTGCTCCAATCAACTTGAAACCTCAAAAATATCTTCATGCCCTTCATAATAGGTCTTATAAGAAGTAGCAAATCATTTGGAGCATGTATAAACCTTGAATTTTCATAAGTAGTCCTAGGGGCATTTTGGTCATTTTACCCCTAATTGGTTTTGCTACTTAACGTATTTCAATGGCTTTCAAATTTCACCACATCATTACAGAGTCTCATAGCATTTAAAGGTCATCTAGGTCATGAACCGTAGGTAGATAGCATTAGGGGCATTATGGTCATTTTGTGCGTTTCTTGGTTTACCTACTTATCCTTATCCAATGATCACCAAATTTGGTACATAACCTCAAAATGATATAATATGCTCAAAATTAAAATTTCATAGGCAGTGGAGTTCATCTAGTGAGTTATTTTAACATTACCTAAATCTCAAGCAATTTGATCGGTTTGAGACCTTAACTCACGATTGTTTGGGTTTTTCTTTCATATATCTTTAATTCATACTTGCTTTACGCTTCATAGGGAAATCCAAGCAATTTATACAAGTATTTCTTAACAAAAATTCAAAGGTGTCTACTTACCTCGTTGTCGATGTTCGGGATGTCCGTTCTTGAGCTTTCGATATCTGAATTACCTCAAATTTCCTTTCATAGACTCCTTATTGTGTCTAGTTTCGAGAACCAATTTTTTCTTTCATGAGAACCGGTTTGGAAGGGGGTTAAAATTGAGAAAAACCAAGGGAATATTGAGTTTTGGGTTGACATGGCTGGTTCACATCATCGTCTTCTTCCTCCAAACGGGAAGAAGACGCGTGCGCGTCATATAGCGCCGCCGTCTGAAACTTGCCTTCCATAGCTCCAACCACGTTGTTTCTCCCCTCGATTTTTTCATGAAACTTAAAGATGGTGTTACAAGAAAGAGTTAGGGATTGAGTTCATACCTTCTTGTGGATCATAGCCTAAGATTTTAGCCTTCAAAGTTTGCCCAATATGATTTCTCGTAGGAGCAAAAACAGAGGATTTCCTATTGGGTAGTCGATTCTAGGGGTTGTCAAGGCTCGATTTCTTCATAGAAACTCTCCCATATCATTTCCTCAAGCTCAAGGAATTGGTTTAGAGGAACGACTTTGAGTGTGTGACCTTAATTTTGAGAAATTGGCTGCAATGTTACTCGAAACGCCAAATTTTTGTTCCCTTGGGCAGACAGTTCTATGATGTTTCAGCTCTCGATTCCTTCATCAAAGTTACTCAACTTGATCCTTTGAAGCTTAAGGAATTCTCAATTTGAAGGAAAAGGAACCGTAGATAGGAATTCAAAACTTAGCTCCAATTTGAGCTCGAAACGAATTTTCTTCAATTAGGCACGTTCTTGATGTTAATTTCTTTTCATGGTCCTCTATGAAAACATTCTTTGGAGGTGCAGAAACTTATTGGGATCTTCCTTGCTCGATGAATTCTCGTGTATCCTCAGATTAGAATTTTGAGTTTTCCTTGAAACTCTTTAATGGTGGATTGGATTAGGGCAATGGTTTCTAGGCATTTTCAGCACTCGATTTTTTCATAGAACTTGTGGGTAGTCTTGTTTAGAAACGGTAGGAACAAGTTTAAAGAGAAATGGTAAAGAATTACTCTCAAATTTTGAAGAAACCCGAGAGTAGGGGACCCAAAATCTAAATGTTTATTGCCTACGATTGGGAGCTCGACCTTGCTCGATTCTTGTTCGAAACTATTGCCCGAACTTCAAAATTTATAGGAAAACTTAATTCGACATTGAGAGCTCTAGAATTGTCGTGAATTGGAGGTTTGATTTTTTGGAAAATCAGTCTGAAATATCATCTCTGATCAACGAGCTACCGACTTCCAATTTGAATATTGGATGTTGGATTTGATGATTTGTGAGTGTTCTAGAATATATCCAATTTTGGAGGGGATCCAACCGCTGAGGGTTGGTAGCTTAGTAATTTGTAACTTTTTAAATATTTTATTATTATTTAAATTTACTTACACCAAACGTAATGATTTGAACACTTAAAAAATCGGTATATTTTTATTCTTTTTAGTTGTTACATCATTGTTGAGGAAGATTGTGTTATAAATCTTAAAAAGTTATGATATTTGATTAATGTATTTTAACTTTTATTATTATTATTTTTATTATTTATTTTATTTTTATTATTATTATTATTATTATTATTATTATTATTATTATTATTATTATTATTATTATTATTATTATTATAGGTTACATTTATATATTAGTTAATTATTTTGAGGTTACTGTAGGAGACTTGAAAATGTGGTCAAAAGAGCATTTAATTACATGTCTTTTCTTTCGCCAAATGCTAAGTTTATTTGCAATTTTGCAATTCTATTTAGTTTAGATTACATGTCTAGAATCAATCAAGCTTGCCATGATCGATTTTCCTTACTTGTGGAGTGATTAAAATCTCAAATAACTGTTATTGTCAACATATTTGATCAACAAGGTAATTCGAATCTTATTTCGCTAGTATAATTCCTTATAATGGTATTAAATCATACCCTCAAGATCGCAGTTTAGTTTGTATTTTTTTTTCATTTTATTTTTATTTTTATTTTTTTTATTGTTAGCCGATCCAAATTTTAAAAACCAATCTCGGCCCTACTTGAAAATTTTGAAGGGTGAGAATGATAACTTCTAAATGGGTGCAAACATGACCTAAAATTATAGATGTGAGAGAGTGTTGTGAGATTGTTTGTATTTTCATAACTTATTTTTTCAGCAAAGTTTCACAAATAAATTCAAGCACGAATCCTCTTGAACAAATGGTGAATGATATGAACTTCTAGAAAAATGTAAAGAAAATGTTGTTAAAATTATCAAAAGATATTTAAATTCACGACACATTAACAAAAATTAAGCTTGATTGTTATAAATTTTTGGTGGATCATAATTTAGAGTTAGGATGTTTAATTAATGCATTTTAAAACTCTCTATTTACTTTAGATTACATTTACATCTTGGTTAATTATGGTCAGGAATGTTAAAACTCAACCGGGAAGGAAGTAAGGATTTAATTTTGGATAATATATACGGTTTTTTTTTGTTGTTTTGTTTTTATATTTTTTTTAAGTTACCATGGATCAAAAACCAATCTTTTTAATTCTATTACAAATAGTAACTTGATTCTATATCATCTTTTTTCTATCGTATAAGAAATAAATAATAAATCTCCTTATAATTTTCTTTCGATTTTTTTTTATTTCAAAAACATTTTGGGTTTTCAAATAAAATCAATAATT